GTACAGAGGTTACAATTTGGTTGAAAAATAAACTATAAAATAAAACAAGTTGAAATTAAAGTGTAGATTTGGCAACGTGGCTTGTGCAAATTCAAATTCTAGACGTCAGTGCAGAGTGGTGTGAACGCGCGCATTTCTAGACCCTTCAACTACAACATAACCCCTTATTATAGGGACCGTGCGTCATGACTTTAACGCTAACTGGTGACAAAAATGTGAACTTTATGGGGGGTATTTATTAATGTTTTATACGGGCATTTATTGTTTAATAATTATTAATAAAATGAAGTCGAATTATTTTCGTAATATCAATATCGAAAAAACTTGTTGCATCCGTGGATGTACAAACACACCACTTTGGAAACCTGGATTTCATTCGATAGTAAAGAAATTTTATAAATTTCCACAGAGCACAATTATGCCTCACACCCAATGATATACATAATTACAAAGATTGCTTATCCATATGTAAATCAGACGACGAAAAGCGTATTTCACTGGGCAAAGTTTTCTTTTTATCTAGCTTGTATCAATTTTGAGTACTTAGTTGTAAAGAAATCATTTACAGAACCGGTTTAGAAATTAGAATCTTTAGTGTTTTCTTGTCATTAAGATTTTTACATATTTAAATGAACATTTTATATAAATATCATTTTACAGATAATGGTTTATTCTGTTGATTAAAACTAATGTAGAATATGAAATAAGAATGTCCAATTTGACAAAAATATCACGGCCCTCTTTACAATTTATTAACTATTTCTCATTTATTATTAAAATAATCATATAAATAATACATTGCAATTACTGTCAAAAGAGATTGTAACAAACTTTAAAATATTAAAAATCCAGTGATTTTTGTAAATTTTTTTAGTGACATTACCATTAAACATTATTCAGAATAATAGATAAGTGTCCAATTACAACTCTTCCCAAAGTTGTTTATACCTCATATCAAAATTGTTTACATTACCTTTTCAAAATTGTATTACATATTGCAATTATGTATTTTATGTAGAATTGTTTCTGAAATAGTAGTCTAAAATTATTTATATCTATCTGTTATAAAAATTGTTTAGATCTCTTAATATAATTTAACTACATGAAAACTCAACTTTCCAAATACATAATGACATGTCTTGAAGTAAAACTTTAATTATTTTCTTTTTCTAAAGATTAAAATGCTGAAATTTTATTTTAAAACACATTTGGGCTAGAACGGCTCTATTTAGTGAGCACTAGCAAAGGCACATTGCAACCCGCTTTTCATAATTTTTTTATAGATGGGTGAGCAATCTATATGCTGCGTTTGAGAATCCACATCGGATGCATTTTTTACATCTCGAGCGTTTTTTTATCCACATCGGACACATCTGTCCCATTACATTTACGTATACTGAATCACGTGATCAAAGATTTTTTACATCTCAGATGCATCCGATGTGGATTCTCAAACGCAGCAATAATATGTATCATTGAACATCTCATAAACGTCAGTGGATGAATGACATTTCGATTAACATAAAGCTAAAAAGATTTATAATTATTATTATCAATCTTTTTTATTAATTTACATTATTTAAATGTTATTGTAATACTTTTAAATTCAGTGTTACTAAATACCGATATTTTAACATTGGATACACTTGTTTAAGGTACAACTTTACAATTTATTGTCACTTAGCCATTTAAATCTTTTTGCTTAAAAAGTATATGCATGTCCAGATTTTAATAATGTTTCACATTTTACGTCATTTTGACCATGTACACGATTGTTTGGTACGGGCCGGTATCTATTTTTAACTATATTTAATATTTAAAAAAATACCCTTAATTATTTACTTGCAATGTTTACCCCATTTAATTCTAAAATTAAACACTAGAGAGGGCTAAGTTCGGCAGTAGTGCTGCCTCTATATTTCACGCACGGTCCCTATATATATTAATATATTAAATATTTGGGTCACTAAACCTGACCCCCCAAAAATTTTTTTTTGCAAATGTTTGAATTTCTATTAGCATAAATCGTTTGTTCGTTGTTTGTTCTTAATTGTTCGCAAATAATAATTGTTTGTTCTCATTTCGTTTATTTATAAAAGTAAAAAATAAAATTGATCCTCTATTTAGCCCCCAACAATTTTTTTGCAAGTTTTTGAATTTTGATTAGCATAAATCGTTTGTTTGTTGTTTGTTCTTAATTGTTCCTAAATAATAATTATTTGTTCTCATTTTGTTTATGTATAATACAAAATAAATAAATAACATTTATTAACTATTTAGCCCCCTATTTTCAAATTATAATTTTTTAGTTACTATTAATCTTTAGCTATTTATTAACATTTTTTAAATTATAAATTACGTTGGTTCTATCAGTAATTTTCTTTTTTTTTGTCCTAATAGATCTATCCGCCGGTAAAACATTTGCGGTCGCAGTTGGAGCGAACAGCTGTACTTCGTAAGTTCTTATATAACCTCTAAATAGGGAATACTTAGGTGTAAACAATTTTAATTTAGTTAAAGTTACTATTTTGTTAATTACCGGTGATTAATGAGCAGTTGGTAGTGATTATAAGTGCAAATTTTTGTGATTTACCGTAGTTACTGAAGAGTAAGTATGTAATTTTTAAATTTCTACATACATACTTCACGAGTTGAGTAAATTGCATATTACAACGAGTGCTTTTGGCTCATAAGCGAGCTTGCTTGGGGAATGAAAAAACTTGCAAAATTATAAAAAAACGCAAAAAATTTTTACTACGTAACGGTAATTTAAATGGTCCAGTGCAATTCAATGGTACAAAATGGACAGTATTGAATACTTGACCTTTTGACACAATTATTCAATTAATATTCACTGCTGCGTTAGATAATACTTCTTTTCACGAATATATTGCAAATATTGAAATTACGATTTTTAAGTTTTTGAGAGAATTTATGAAAAACGGGCCAACAGCAGAACTTTACCAACAACGCCTATTTTAAAACCTATTTATATATAAAAAAAATGATGAACACCACCAAGAAATTACAAATTTAAATGTAATTAATTGTTACGATAATATCAGTAACTTGTGGAATATTTTATTCAAAAACAAACAACAAACAAACGATTTATGCTAATCAAAATTCGAAAACTTGCAAAAAAATTGTTGGGGGCTAAATAGAGGATCAATTTTATTTTTTACTTTTATAAATAAACGAAATGAGAACAAACAATTATTATTTGCGAACAATTAAGAACAAACAACGAACAAACGATTTATGCTAATAGAAATTCAAAAATTTCCAATAAAAAATTTTTGGGGGGGTCAGCTTTAGTGACCCTAAATATTTAATATTAAAAACTTCTAACGGATACGAATGTCGTCGAGCGCATCCGAAAGCTATAAAGTCGCCACTACCTGCTGCCCTTAAACATCCACAATTAAGGACAGGCACAATCCTTAATAAAGTCAGTTTTAGAAAATAAACATCTGCGCATGCTTAGATGTCAAATTAAGAGCAGCACTAATAGTGACTGACCTTAAGTGAACTTGCAATAACTAATATTTCAAAAATTTTGCTTACTATTGGTATAATTGAGATAGGTCTGTAAGCAGATGGTAGATTCATGTCCCCTTTTTTGAAAACAGGGGTAACTCATGATACTTTAAATGTATCTGGAAAAATTCCAGATTTCATGCACAAATTAATTAGGTTAGCAATGGGAGTGTTTAAAATATCAACCAAACTGCACTCAATCCATAAATATCCCTAGTTTTAGAATTTTTTAAATCTTTGATAATTTGTTGGACTTCTGTTGTATCTGTGGGGTTCAAAAATATTGATAAATGATTAAAAGGATATTTTAATAAAGCTGTTAACATTAGTAGACTTCTTGCAATTTTCAACTAAATCATGAATTACACTTTGAAAGAAATCTGCAAAATCATCGACAGACACATTGGTTTTAGAAGATTTATTTCTACCCAAGTTGGTGTTAATTATTTGCCAAGCTGTTTTTTGTTTAGACTCAAATATTTTTTTATTGTTCAAAAGTACCGTTTCCTTATTATTCTTTTTTTAAAAACGATAATAATTCGAAGCTTTTCAGTGATTTTGTAGAATTAAATATTACTTGAGTAGCATCTAACTTTGACTTAATGTAACTTCCATTCTGAGTGTTTGCTAAATTATTTTTACTTTTGATTACCTTCTTTTCAGGAAAACATTGTAGGTACAGTTTAGATAGAATGTCAATAATAATATTAGCTTGGTTGTTCTCATTAAATTTATTTAAATCCCAACTTAACTTATTTAATTCAGATCTAAAATGATTTATGGCCCTCTCAGTCATTGGCCTACTTAAAGATGCATTGTTAACATTTTTTGTATCAGTAATTATAATTACCCCTGTAATCCGAAATAAAAGGCTCAATGACATTTATAATAACATTTATTTCTTTTTCTAAGTTTGTAAATAAATTGTCAACTCTTGTTCTACTTTTATCTGTCACATTTAGCTTTTTTTCCTAACAAAATCGTTAAGCCCAAAAACTGCATATATAACATTTTTTTCAGCTAAAATTGATTCATTATAGACAATATATATAGCTCAAATAATTTAGATTCATCTTCCTTTTACATAAGGTGTAAGTCAATCAATATATATTAATTATGTTTCACTGTAGATATAAGTAAAATAAAAAAAATTTATACTGATACAAAAATAACAAAAATGATTTACTATTTGAATAAATTGAATAAGCAAATTCTAATTGTTTTTAAGAGTACCTACTATTATTATAATATTTAATGAAAACCGTCCTATTGTAGAACCTAAAAATCTAGTTCAATACACATCATGCAGTTAAAATAAGAACATTCTAACATCAATATTAATTCAAATATTTCAAAATGAAAAGGTCCAAAATTTTAAAATTAATGGCGTTTTTCTCGAAACCTTTGTACTTTTGAATAAACTTTCTAAATGATAAAACCAAATTACAGATAAAACTTACCTTTATTGTTATTGCTTAACACAGCAGTAGATTCTAGTCACAGATTCTAGTTCATGGAGGAAGGATAACGGAGTTATAACGGATTCATAATAATTTTATAACCAACACCATCTACCAATATAATTAAAACAAAAATAACACCAAAAAATAATTATATTTTGTGGAATTTGTTGTTATGTCTTGCCAACTGCAACTGAGCGCGAACTGAACGTAGTTTATGAATCCACCTTAAAGGAGAGAAATAACTTCATGAATTTGACACAAACCACTGAGTAAATAAAGTAAATATTAAATACAATAGTGAATATTGAAGACGATAGTAAATATTAAAAATTATAACAGTAAATACATATTATGATGTGGTGAGTAGATTGGTTAATTATATTATGTGATTCCCAGATTTTCACAGTTAGTTGACATATATCTAGTTACAAAAGAGAAAATAGAAGGACTACTAAAAACAAAAACAAAAAATAGAACAGAAGTAAAAGTTGGAAATGCTTTTGCCAGTTCTCCCACTTTATACACATAAATTGACAGGTTGGCAGCGGATTTCACCGAAGTGGACGCGATACATTGGCGTACAAAATTATTTTATAGATGTTAATAACAATTTCGAGTAAATAGTTTAATAAATTGTGAATAGCTGTTGAAATTTTGTAAAATTATAATTTGAATATTATAATACATGTTTAATAATTATTTATAATCCATAAATACATGCGATTGTCCGGTTCCGCTGATAACAATTTAAAATTACTTATTCTATGAAACGACACTGGCAGGTAAACATTACTGTGAAATTCTCGGAGCCGCCCGACGTGGTTTGACGTTTACCCCCTCTCTACCTACCAAAAGACTTTTCAACTAGTGTTGTGAATATCCGTATCTTTTTAGTATTCGGATAATACGTATTCGGAACCAAGAGATATTCGGATTCATCATCCGGATACGTATCCACATGTGTGAAATCATAATACGCAACCGTAAATACACCGCGACCTTGGGAATCGGAATCGGGCAGTGTTGTCAACCCTAGCAGAATTTATGTTTGAGAGTGAAGTAACAGGAGCTTTTAATGTTTTAGAATAATAAACACAAGATAAATCTCAAATATTTTGTTTTTTATCATAATATCAGAAACAAAATTTCTCATTTATATTTATATAACTTCATGTTACCTTTAAAATATGCAGTGCATGCCGACTAACCGATTATGAATTGCAACAACGCTAGACGATTCCGAATTCTGATTTCGTATCCATAGTTCGTATCGGCTGCCACCCGCAAAACCCGAATCGGCTCTGTCATAACAGAACTTGCAGCATTCGATTCGTGTATTACGATTTTGTTTCTGTTCTTTTTGATACCGAATTCGTATTCGAATTTACACTATTGATTCCGGAATATCCGGATCCTTTTAATATTCGGATTCAACGGATTTTTGGATACGTATTCTTACATCACTATTTTCAACTTTTACTTTCTCTATACTAGGCGAGTTCGGCCAGTCAGGGGCTGGAGCGGGACAAATTTTAGGGTGCTTTTAAATGACATTTAAGCGTGTTAAACTCAATGAACTGGAGTGGGGTAGAATGCTTGTCAATAGGCTTGAGATGCGACTCTATGGGCGAAGACAGGTTATTTTTCATCTCACTCGGGAGTATTAATAACAACCATTTTCTATTTCACTTTGTTATTGTCTGATCCACCAGCTTGTGAATTGAACAATAACAATGTGAAACAGAAGATGGTTATTATAAATACTCCCGAGTGAGATGAGAAATAAAAATGGCTGCGCCCATAGAGTCGCATCTTGTTCTATTGATACAATATGCACATTGGCTTTCTACCCAACTTCAGTTCATTGGTTAAACTGTCACTAATCGGACTAAACCTAACGCTAAAAGAGTCGTTTGGAGTTAAAAGTGTTAAAGGAGTTAAAGGAACTTGGCAGACCGAACGCAATGACTGATCATGGGTTGACAATTTGCCTACACAAATTGAGTTCGGAAATCGTAGCCCCTTTTACTCTTAAACAATTACACAGGAGTGCGTTTCAAGTTACACCTTGTTAAGGTGTCGCTTATTATGAATGGTAACATTATAGTAGTTTTTAAATATTTAAAAAAAGTAAATTTTTTTGCTGCAGATTTAGGCTCGATTTATTTTAATATTAATTTGCGCCTAACCCTCGAAATATACGAACGCGACAGCAAACAATTTTATAAAACGGATTTTCGAATTCGAACAAAGCCACAGAATAATCACTATTATTCTGTGACAAAGCTAGAAATATTTAAATGTCATTCGTTATTGCCAAATGTCGAATGTCACCAGTGTTGCCAGTCTAGTACAATTGTACTAGATCTAGTACATTTTCTAAGAATTTGGTACACTCGAAGCAAAATCTAGTATTTTTTTTCTTTTTCAGCTTGTTACCATTTGACGCGTGTAAAATATATTGTTGGAATCTTGTCTTTGTTTTATTTTCGTTCGCTAAAAACCCCCTTTTTTTCCTTAATGAACCAAACCATATCATAATTCATTCGAAAATCTGGTATATTTAACAGAATCTAGTACATTTTTATGCAATCTGGTACATAACAAAAATAAATTCTGGCAACACTGAATGTTACTGTCACATGTCAATGAAAATTTATTTCCATTATTTTTATGCAAAATGGAGGCGAAAAGCCGGAATTTGAATAAAAATCCTTCTGAATTTAACATTAGCGGATTAAGCATGTTCTTAAATACCGATACGTTTAATCCAAACGAAAAACAAACTGATCTTGATCTACAATATCATCCCCAACAAGAGGACCCTTTGCTAATTGTCGATTCAGTAGTTGGCGATACAAATACAATTCCTGCAAGTTGTAAATTTAAAAATACCGATGAAAATAAATCTGAAGAAAATGTTTGTGAACCGCAAAACAATTTTTTACAGGAGAACTTTGTAGCAAGCACTAAATCGGCAGCGAGTGATAATGGTGCTAAAAAGTGGGCACTAAAGAAAAAGAAGTATCCGTGTCCTGTTTGCAGAACAAGTAAGTTCTTATCTTTTTTTTTTGTCATCGCTGTAAGTGTGTAAGCACAATGTATTTCCCATTATAATAATTACAGTTTCCCATTAAACTTGCGACTGACTAAACTACTGCTTCATGTAAAAATATACACCTCAACCGTGAATACACAATAAAATACAGTGGGCCATAAAAAAGAATAAATATTTAAAAAGAAATCGTAGCGTGAAGGGCCCCTTTAAAGGAGTATAAGTCTATTAATTCAATCCATAACTCAACATGAAGACCTTCATCATCTGACTCACATCTGGCCTTTCCTCTTTTGTATTTTTGTATAATCTGAAGATGAAGAGTGAAATGAGCTGATTAATTCTTGCCTTTGGATCAGAACTGTGTGTTTTGGCCTGCAGGCCATATCAAAGCGAGTCATGAAGAACTGTTTATGAAAAAACATTTTTTATTAATAATTATAGGAAAAAAATTATCATAAGATATTAAATTTAATGAGTATATGGTTGTCAAAAATGAATGTACTTTACTTTTGAGCAAGATAATTTTTTTGACATACCTCATATACAACTGAATTTTTTTTATATCTGATGGTTATATGCACAATTTTTTATGAAGACTAAAAGTTTTTTTTAAATTCATCATAAAAATGTTTTTTATGTGGAGCCAACTTACGTAGACACACTGTATATGGCTTCAAACATTTATTTTTTCTATTTTATTTATTTATTAGTTTTCTAAATAAAGATTAGAATATTAATTTGCCCTGTTAAGAGGAAAAAGGTAAGTAAAGGTTGGAATGGTAAGCTTTGAGAAAAATGAAAAAAATTTAAATAACTCTGAATTTTACAAAATATAAATAGTATCTATTTGTAACATACATATTATATTATTATAAGAATATGGCGTGGTCCTTTCTAACAGCTACTTTAAGTACCTACTACAAGTATTTTATTATTTTGAGTACAAGCGCATTAAAATAAAAATCTTTTAATTTTGGTAGCATCTCACATTTCCAAAATCTGCCATTGCAGTCAATTTAGATTGAGCCAATTGGAGACTATACAGCAGAACAACAATAATTCCTTCCTGTAAGGTGTAACTGTCCCTGAAAGAAAAAGGACATTTCTTTAATAAAATCAACTTTAACCAGGCTATTGGGGCTAACTGCTAAAAATAAATTATCTTCATCCCCTACGTGAATACCACATTGAGTGATCCTTAACTCTATAAAGCATTCAAAACTTTTAATATCTGTGGATTAATTTTCTTGGCTGTACCTTGTGGTTTTGTTACCTGAGAAGGTACTATGAACCATGTTTTTTGTAATTTTTTCAGTTTGCATATTCTTCCAAATTGGGATGCAGTTGGCCTATATTGCATTTCTTGATACCACAATGGATTAATGTTGCCCTCTTGTAGTTATTTCAATTTTAATTATTTTTTTATTTTATTTATTTTTTTTATTTGTCTTATGCCTTATTACATGGATAAAAGTATCATAATACATAAATAATAATAATAATAAACACTAGGTATTTACAACTAATATTACAACTTATTCAGTATTAAATTTAATTAAGAGTAATGTAAAAATTAAATGCAAGTTTTTGGAACATATTAAAAGGTAATGTCCAGTCTACATCAATACAAGTGTTAGTATTATTTGCCAATTGAAGCATGGTCACAAGAAGTGACCTCTCAGTGGTAAGAACTAAAGGAATATTAAACATACATGTATGTCTCATTCTCCTCAAAGGTAGATTAAATCATTAAGTATAGTAGCTCAGGTGAGTTATTTTTATAGTTAATAATTTTATATAATTATCAACATCCTTCTGGTGTGAAAGGAAGGTATTTTAAATTTGCAGTTCTAACAAGATTGTAGTCTGGGTATATATGGAGTTTTTTGAAATAAAGATATCTAAGAAATGTTTTTTGTATTTTTTCAATTTTCAATAGATTAGTTGGATATTCCCCCATCCATACCTAAGCTCCAAATTCAAGTTTTTGTC